ATTGAGTAGGCTGTAAATAATGCCCGGTACGGCCCGCGCGGTAGCCTTCGGCTAGTACCGCCAGCTAGGATAAACCTGCCGACGGTGAATTCTTGTAACCTTGAATTTTCCGAGTACACTCGACGGAGAAAGTACTGCCGCAGTGTACAAGTGCAATTCTGACAGACTTGGACTCGGTCCCTATACGTGGCACTCATCGGACGGTGCCAGCCCCAGCCAGCGGAAAGTTCGGGACCCCGAAATGTACCTAGTTAAAGTGCGCTTTTTGACAACGGGATGGTCAATGTAGTGGCCCTCGTATTCGGCCGCCGACGTAACTTGGACAACTTGCCCCAACGCGGATGCGCTCGTCGCGACAGCACATGCGCGGCTCATCGCCCCTGGCCCCGCCACTGCCTCCGGCTCGGGCGTCTCTGGCACCGCCGCCTGCGGCGCGGTCCGCTCGGGCATGCTCGGTGGAAGCTCGTGCATCCCCGAGCCGTACATGGCATGCGGCCCCCCGTCCTTCTGCTCTTCGTGCCAGTTTCTCTTATGCCGCGCTTGCTTCAACTGCAGCCGGCGCCTTTTTACGGGCACGAGCATCTTCCGCTCCACTTGCTTCCTATTATTTCTCTTCAACTTTTTAAAAATCAACTCGCCCGGCGACCCAAGCTCGGCAACACTATTGACCCCTAGCTGCTCTAGAAGAGCTATCTCCCATCCCTCTCCATGGTTTTTGCTCAAGCACGCGGCTAGGACCCGGAGATAATACGAACCCGACCTCAAGTAGTGCAACCTTTTTGGGGCGAATACTCCCACTGTGTTATGGAGGCTTTCGCTTTGATTGCTCGAGTAACCCTTATAAATTTGATCGAGCATTGCCGGCTGCACATAGTGCCCAATGAGGTCTTCCAACGCTTTCCGGAAATTGTCTCCGGTGAACTAGCCGCCGTGATTTTTCAACCGGTTCGGAACGTGATCGGGCTCCAAACCGGCTTTGCACCAACCCTCTTCATCCTCCGGGTGCCTCTTCTTTTTGCACTTATCGTGCTCGTTGAAGAGGTGGGGGACTATGCTTTCCAGCGCTTGCTTGACTGCTGCGCGGTCGCCGCGGTTACTGAGAATTGCCGCGGCGAAATACGAGCTTACAGCTCGTATTTGCCCATCCGTGAAGGCCTTCCTATCCTTCTTAAATTGTGACGCTTTCAATTTCGTCATCTTATCATATAGATTGCCTTTGAGATGGCCGATATCAAGCGCCTTCTCGACCACATTTGCAATCCATGGCGGCAAGCGCTCCCTTACAGCGGCCATCACGCTTGAGTCGGCATCCCCGATGAGATCGCGTACAACACACCCGAATTTCGTGATGCGTTCGAGCATCCGCACGCCTCCCTCCGGCTCCATCGACTTCGCGCTGTCAGCGTAGTTCCGGTGGCACCGGTGATCGGGGGGTTCCGTCTTGAGGTCCTCCGCTTGGTCACAGATCCCGCACCGCGTGTTCAACACCTCCACTTGCAGGACCTTGCCCGTTAGCGCGCTCATCAACGCCGCCATCCCCCCGAGAGAGTTATACCCCCCCGACCGCGTGCCCCGTTTCGGCCAACCGCCGTCAAAGGTTGCCGCGATGGCCCAAAACAACGACGCCTCTTTCCCTTGCTCCGTCACTATCCTTAGCGGCACTTCCCCGTTTTCTTCAAGGCGTCGGATGACCTCATCGATGGCCTCTTTGAAAGACCTATCGCACAGGATTTCCATCGCCTCTATGACTTTCTCCATTGCCGCATCAAATGCGTCGTGTCCGGACGAGGGCACATTCAGGCACCCCATCAATTTCTGCAAGCCCTTCAACCCGCTACCGGTGGCTATTGCGCCGACTATAGCCTGATAGTTGATGCCCCTTGCCTTTCGACCCCTTACCCCCGGCGCGCTTGCAACTTCCTCGGTCGTCTCAAAAGAGTACGACTTACCGCAAGCGCACTCAAAAAGCAACCGGCTAGCCAAGCCCATCTTCTTATCCTCCCCTATTAGGCGCAGCCGCCCGCCAAACTCACAGTTCGAGCAAGTGGTCTCTAGAAAGTCAGCCATAAGTTTCATGCTAACAATCCGATTCCCTGTGGGCATGGAAGGGGCATCATTCTCGGCACGAGGACGTGGCCTACATGCGGGAGCCCGCCTTATGATAGTTGGGCGTGCATACAGCGGGCCGATTGTTTTGGAGACCAGCCTTCGCTTTACAACCCGGTTATCGGTTCCGACCGACCCAGTTCCCCGACTCTCTCCTACGACGCGCATCCCTGGACTGTATGCTTCCGGTTTACGCACAAGTTCCTCCCCTCTAGTGCGAACCGGGGAGCTACCCGACGGCTCTAAACGACCCTTCCAACACCTAGGGGCTGAACCACTTGCAACGCTGACGGAGGCCACACTTGCGAGACTCGCGGCAGCAACTTGTCTTTTGTCCGCCGCCTTCTTCACGCTCCTCCTCGCCGCCATCGCCGCTCCGAACGAGAGGCCGCCGGATGTCCCCTCCGGCGTGGCCATCGCAACACGCAAGTCTCCCTGTACAACGGAATTCTGAAGTTGTGAGCATTGCAGACAGATTCTTGTAGACTGTCCGGCTGTAGCAAAGTTTTCCAATGTTGCTGTAAAACGAGTCACGAAATATATCCCCCGAAATCGGAATCTGGCAAAGCGCGACGATAACCTGCCCCTCACAACTGAACCACACAAGCATGAAACAGTAGCGTACTCCATCTGACTCTCCATATTAGTTTGTAAAGACAGCAGATCTGGCAGGACAATCCACAACAGAATGACACGTTTCAATGTGACGCACCGCAAGCTGCTCCCACCCCCCCAGAAAACAAAAGCTCGCTCGGACGCACCGCAAGCTGCTCCCAACCCCACCGAAAACAAAAGTTCTTGCAGACGCACCTCAACCTGCTCCCACGCCCCCTGAGCACAAAGGTACCGCAGACGCGACGCAACCTGTTCGCAACACCCCCCCGGATCCAAACTACATCTCTGGCGGATGCATCGCAACCTGCCCCCATTCCCCAGAAAACAAAAGGTCTGGCAGGCGCGACACAACTTGTTTGTAACACCCCCCCGGGAAGATTCATCTCTGCCGGACGCATCACAACCTGCCCCCCACCCCCCCAAAAAACAAAAGGTCTGGTGGACGCGACGCAACCAAATTCCCACCCCCCAAAAAACAAAAGGTCTGGCGGACGCAAAGCAACCACCATCTCTGTCCCCTAAATTGCAATACCACATGTCCATGCTTTGACACGATCAAAGAAACGGACCCACCTCAAGCACGGGGCGAGTTCACATTGTTGTCATCCTCGGAGGGGGGCTCGGTCTCCGCATCCGAAGCAATGAAGGCTGGTTTCACAGAGGGAGAGGGGCTGTCCTGCAAGCATACAAGCAAGAGAAGCTTCAAGACAGGAGCCTTGACAGCGATGTTGCACAGAGCTGCCAGTACCAACCAGAGGCATCGGACATCAAAGCATGTTTTTTGAAATGGTCTTAGGCCTGGCTGTTACAGCACGCTATATGAAGTGCATCGAGATTCGCAAAGCTCGCCAACTCCTCAAGTGATCATCCATAACCGGCTCACCTCTTCGTCCTCCAAGCGAGCAATCCGCGCACGACCGGCCTTCACCTTGCGGCGTTTGACCACAACTCGGCTTACAGGCCCCCTTTGAGTTTTCTGAAATAGAAGAATGAGTCATCGTAAGGGCAGCGCAACAAACAATCACCACCTTGCACCCTTTTAGACACTCATCACATCGCACCGTTCTTGAAGGTCCAGACACATGTGCGCAAGCAGCCGGTTGTATGTTGTAGAAGGATACCAAGAGGGTTTCTTGAGATTGTGTGGCATACCCTTCTCATAATCCCAACAGGGATAAAGTTTGCCAAACTACACACCTTAGGGTTCCCTTGTGCGGCGCGGTCGTCCACAGCAAGTGCACGCGACGCCCCTGCTACTGGTGCGTCAGTAGGTGCAATCCCTTCAGCTGCACCCTCTTCCTTGGTAGCCTGCCCACGATCTTCTTTCTTGTCCTCCTTCTTAGGCTGCAACCACGGCCAGCCGAAAACCATCAGCCGACAGCGCTAGCTTACATTTCACAGAAGTATAGGTCTGACAACGGTTGGCAATGCTGCTTGTCTTTCTTGTCAGCGTTCAGTAAGGAACTTGAATAAACTCCAACCCAACCTGCTGCATGAATGTATGCCGTTCATTTGCTGTCAGCTGATCTAGTGTGGCAAGCAACTTTTCTGTTGTCAACCAGGATGAGGATTCTGAATCCTGAGAAACCCTTGACATTGTCCCCGCTTCAAAACCAAATGTAGACCAACCAAGTACACTGACTGCAACCGCAGTCCTGTACACTAATTTTCTTTGCTTCTCAAGCAAGAAACCCTAGAAAGGATTGGCAAGTCATAAGTTACTCACCCAATACTTTCTCAACAGCTTGTTGATAGCTTCAGTGAAGCCATCCCCTTCTCCTTCTTGCCTTCTCCCCTGCCAGCCCAGAAGATATGCTGCATGCCTGCGCCACCAAAACCTGTGGTTCTCTGTTTCCCACACTTCAGGCTTGACAAGCTTCTTGAAACCCTTGGTCTGGGGAACAGGCCTCTGCTGCAAGTACTCCTCGTTGTAAAGGGCCAGAAGACTTGCCAGCATAAGCTCGTTCTCGCCTATCCCTTCTATGAAATCCTCGAGGACGTCATACCCTCCTAGCTGGTAGAAGCGCTCAGGGGGTTTTGGCAAGTCTTCCAGCTCCATTATGAATCTTTCTTGGAAAGGCTGGCAGTGTGAGGGCAAAAAGGACAGGAAACTAGCGGCGGCAGAACGATGATCTTCTTTGTAGACTGCGTGGTAATGAATGGGAGTCAGACCTTTACCAAACACCGCCAATTCCCCGACTCTCCGTCGGGGCAGGGCAAATGTGCGGTATTTTCGATTCGATACCGCCGCGAGCTTTCGAACCGCCGAGGCTGCAAATACCGTCCTACGAGCGGACGAGCAAAACGGCGCCAGCTGCATGGCAAGAGCACAGTCTCAAGGCTCTACATTCTGCAGCTAGAGGTTTCCCTCAACTTCGAGAGGAAATTGGAGCAGCACAACAAGTCCGAAGGTGCTCCTTGAAACGTCTAGGGCTTACTGACAGCATCTGAGCTTCGCAATGTGGATAGTGCAGAACGGCATATGCAGATGCATACAGTAGGCTGTTGGAGAACAAAGAGGGCCTCATGCCCTCGGCAGCAACCTTTGGTGAGAAGGGACAATAAATGTGAGACTTTCTCATGTCCGTCGACTCAAAGAATGCTTTAGTTCATATATCAATCGCATGGGCACGTGGCCAATGCTGCCAAGTGAGGTAGTAGTGAACGATAGCCTCATAGGCTTGAAACAGTGCTTGAAACATTGAGTAACTTGCACCGATTTCTATCCACTAACAAATCTGCAGGAAGTACTCTTTGCACAGAACTTAAAATCCCATAGCAGACTCCTTGGGCGCCACATCAAACTTCTGGCTTCTGTGCCCTGTGCTATCAACTGACCTCATTTTCACATTCTGCATGACCTGCTGGCTCTTTGTACCAGAGTAGATTCTTATTCTCCTGTTACTCAAGGCTCCAAGTAGAAGGAAAGCTTGCACATGATATGCAAGTGCAATTTGAATCAAGCAACTTTGTTGGTCTTTCCCCTGCTCATGTCCTGACCCTTCCAAATCTCACCGAAAAAGAAACCTGCTCTCACGCGGACTCTGAAATAGCTGTCCACACAAGAGGGTGACCTCATCGAGGGCAGCCACTCATCAGGCAACTTTTCATCTATACTAGAAGTCTTCACAATCAACCGTTTTTCAACTGTCTGTCGCACATTCTTTTACCAAGTCCTTTACCCCGTCTTGAAGATCTACCACTGCTAATCTGTGTCATAGCCAATCCTTATTATATTTCCCTATCTTGCAGATCTATTGCTATCTTAGAGACTGATGTGCGGTCGCTTGCAGTAACAAGGTGGTCAGTGCGAACGAGCTTGATGACCACCCAATAGCTGGTGGGGTCGGCAGCAAGTCAACTACCGACGAGGTCAGGCGACATGTGCAGACTCTGGATATTGTGTTTCAAGAAGATATTGACTACAAAGAGTTGTATATATCTGATCAAAGGCTATCTGAATGCTTTTCTTCCTTTTGCGCCTTGTGCATGGTGTCGCTTCAGATCCCATGGCCCCTGCTCGCTGTCTGGTTGTCAATGAAATTGACTACCGTATGACCTGCCCTCCAAAGAAAGTCATAAAGCTCGACGCCAGACAGTCCCTAGTGACCCGTCTGGCAACCATCTTAGTAATTGATCATCACTTGGACGATGTTTGAAATTCCACTCCCCCACCACTCTATTGTAAACGGTATGAAGTTTCCAGTTTCGTGCTTAAGAATTTGGACATGGTTGGCTTCGGCGAAGCACGCTTGGCTCGGGCCTCAGACTTAGCTACTTGTCCTTCCGAGTTCCACATTGAGATCTGCTTAAATTCAAAGGCTCTTTGTTTGTGCGTCATCTCAAGTAAATTTGAAGACGCATACCATCACCATGATTTCCACTCCCTTATGAGTTCCAGAACCTTCTGAGTTCCAATCTCTTAAGAGTTCTAATCTCTTTTGAGTTTCAATCCCTTACCTGTCCCCTTGCTTAGGGCGTGTCGATTCTTGCTGCAGGTCGACACATGTGGACGACCAGTCTGGGCGGTTTTTCCATCACTAGTGGCCCTGTGTGCCTGTGAAGCCTCGTCTCCTAGTCCAAAGTTCAAGCGAGTCTTGAACAACGCTGGCAAGGACTTCGTTCTTTGAGACCTGTGGTAAGCCGTTTGCAAGTCTTCGCTCCTAGATTAATGACGTCCATTTCTCGTTATCTACGTCTCATCGAGTACGAGAGATGCATGTTCCCTTCTGCAAGCATTGATGCCAAAGGTCTTTTGACGAAGTTGAAGAACATCTCAAAGTAACTCCGGGTTCCAAATAAGAGACGTCAGTGCCCTTTTTTGTAACGCTTTTGATCAGTCGTGTTGAATCCCTGGTATTTTGTCCGAGTGATCAACTTATAGACACTTCTGTCGTCAACTGGGCCCACATGCACGTTCCTCCTTGGGCCCAAGGTGGTTGAGTCAGATTTTCGCATATATAGGCCGCCTCGACAAAGTCTCAACAAAAGGGCTGGTCGCATATGATGCAGTTCGGAGAGCCAGCTTTACGCTTGTTGTCACCTTAATGATTGTGACACCGACCGAGACATGGTTCCATCCCAAACTACATTGCACATGACCTGGACGCACATTGCAAAAGCTGTTTGCTAAAGTATTTGCACTACACCTATTTGTCTTCTTTTCAGGTTCTCCAATCTACGTCGAAACTTACTGAATACCAAGCTAGAAGTGGTAGGCACATTTCACTCATGATCACCCGGGTAGGCAACTAGGGTCTTAAACCCGAGCAATGTTTTTGAGATGAAACAATGTTTATCTCGTTATCACTGCATATTCTAACATATTCATTCTTGTTTTCAATACGAGCTCGTTGAGAGCTTTTCAAAAACATACTTGGTTTCAAAATCTGCCCCCCCCAGAGATTTATAAACATCGACAAACATGTTTAAAACATCAAATGATGTTTGTACATGTCATCGGGCGAAGCCATGATTTTCTGAGTGCAATTAACATTATAAACAAACATGTTTATTGTTTAAAACATGGTTAAAACATATTTAAACCCGAAAAACATGTTTAAACCGTGTTTTTCGTGTTTTTCCGTGTTTTAACCATGTTTATAACCATGTAGGGACCCACACTTTTCTGGCGGTCCCAGCCGATCACCTGTACGTTTTAAATATGAGTTGCCTACCCGGGCATGATCAGTTCAACTTACTGCGACTGTAGTATTATGCTTGATCTTCTAGTAGGCTCGGTAACACTCGGTCAACTCTCTGAACCGTTCCTACATATTTGTCAAGCATGTACTTTCCGATCCTTGAGTTGGCTCGTCACAGTGTATTGCAACATTTCGTGAGATATACTATCACGATCACTAATTACAGCTTATAATCCTTCCAATTAGCTTTTATCGAATCGATGTACAAGCTCACCGTCAATACAATACTCTGCGCGGCACCTTGCTCGACCTAACTGGACTACTATATTAGTCCTCACTATTTGAAGGAACAATCGGGAGGATTCGACTCACGAGTGATTTCCATGCATGAGCCAATGGGCATCATTGGAAGGGCCCGGTAACCCCGGGGGGGTCCGACACCTCATGCACTCTGCATGGCCTCAGCTGACGAGGTCATATTCCGACGTCTCGTTCCGACGTCTCTTTTCAAATACGCCGTAGCCAGTAGGGCCATAGGCTTCTCATGATATCGTGATGATCGATGGTAACTTCTCATTTATTAACGCCCTTATAGCCACGTTATAGAGCCATGGAGCATGGTCTCCGGCAGACCCGGGATAGTTTGTTGACTCTACAGCTTGCTATGGCTGTAAGTCATGTCCGACCTCAATCTAACTCGATGTTGTCAATGGTCAGATTGCATGATCGAGCCGGCCCATCAAGCCACATGCAGCCGCTGTTCGCCTGTCACGTTGTGACATACAAAGTTTTTGTCGGACTATAAGCTGTAGATAGTGATCGTGATAATGTTCTCACGCCCTTCTCACCATGTCTCATGCACAACGTTGCGAGAGGGAAGAGCACAAGAAATTCTCAAGTCTACAGCATGACCAGTCTCAAGACCACAAGACCGGAGCCTGTGCCCGAGGGATGCTTCAAGCCGGAACCCTAACCGTCGATCAACATCTCAACCGCACATTCTCATGTCAGTGAAAAGTGACATCTGCCACGTGTTGGTATGCGACTGCCTTGAGCATCTTGCGGTTACAAGCAGTCCATCTGGCTCGATCGATTGGACGGTGCGAGTTCACTTTATGCCACGTCATACAAATTCCGCGCGCTCCTAACCGCAACCAGTTTCCATAACGGGATTTGACGGTTATCTCTTGTCAGTCCTCTCCCGGACAGCCGCGTATCCTGAGATTTTGTGGGACAAGCTGGCCGGTTTGCAGGCGAACTTTCAGAGGACAATTCTAGATATTTATCAGCAACAGACCGATCTTTAGCCTTTCCGCGATTGGCTGACTCTGTGGAACCCTCGTGCCAAATCTTTTGCACGGCCCTCGTGGGTCCACATCACGAGGAACCTCTTCGCGAGCGATTCTAAAATCGCAGGATACGCTAAGGCAAATATCTTCAGCAGGGAAAAGCGCTTGGAGAAGAAATGGCTGACAAGCCTCCACAGAGACGATGATATCTGAGCGAACGTTGCAAGGGACATCTGGCGAAGGGCAAGGGCTTCCAGAAAGTATCCTTGTTACCGGTATCCAGAGCTGAAGTTGCTGGCGGAGGAAAGCTTGTGTTTGTAACGCCTTCTTTGCGGTACGCAGCAAGGCGTTTGCTTGCGGTTTTCGAGACGTTTGAGCGGTCGAATTATGCAAGAAGATCCAGACCTGTCATGACTGGCGGACTGCAGAGACAGAACACAGGGGCCGGTGGCCCCCACCAGACATCAACGGGACGGTCAAACAGACAGACGGTAGAGAGTCCTCGTGAGGTGGGCACAGAGCAGGGATCCAGACACTCGCAGGAAGAGCAGGGGAGAGACGGCTCAGAAACCCCAGAGTTGGGCCAGGTAGAGAATGGCAGCAATGAGAAACGGGCCGTGGAGCACAGAAAGGGCGGGGGCAGCGGCACTGGGAGTGGCCCCAGTGGTATGGACACCGAGATGGGCAACTCCAGCGGTCAGCAGGGGTGTGCCGGTTCGAGTGGGGATGGGGAGGGGACTCAGGAGCCTGTGATGCAGGAGAGGGTTGTGGATGAGGTTGCTCGGACTGTGGCTAACACAGGGCTGGAGGACGGAAAGGCCAGATTGGATGTCGGTAGAAATGTAGGGGAGATGCAGGTCAGGGGGGGAGAGACTGAGCAGGAGCCAGAGAGGGGGGGCCGGGATCGAAGGGTGCCTGCCAAGGTTTATATGTTGGAGTCTTCTGATGAGGATGAGGCAGATGTCGACGATGAGGAGGGGGAAGGGTTGGATGAGGTCGATGATTTGGATGGAAGTTGGCAGGCGACCCTGCCTTCAAAGCATTTGAGGGTGCTGCTGGTTGAGGACGATGATTGCACGAGGCATGTTGTGGCCGCGCTGCTGAGGAATTGTGGCTATGAAGGTGTGTGGCAAGCCTTCCCTCAGATTGGAACCTCTCTGAACCTCCTTTCAGCCTGTCTTTGGTCTCAGTCATAGGTGCTCAAATTGCAGTGGCCTGTGACATTCGGGGTCCAGTTGAAGTGGGACTGATTTTGTCATCTGTGGTGTCAAGCTGGGAATTATATCTTCTGAGCTTTAGTCAGGGCCATCAGCTGTAATAGGGGAACAATCAAGTGCCAGATGCTCTAAAATGGATGTCTTTGACTCTGGTCAATCAGGGCTATGCATAGCATTCATCTCTGAAAGGCACAGCGGGATAACTATCGAGCATTTCCATGATACCAGGAAGTGCTTGGGAGCATAGTTTCATTGCACTCTGCGCCAAATGCAGGTTCCCTTGAGCGGATTGCTTGAACGAATGATTTCAAGCAGTCATAGTTGCACCCCAAGCGTTGAGAAAGGTTCACTGTCCCTCTGTATACTGCTCTTGTCTGCTGGTCAGCTTAGCATCCACAACGGAGATTGGCCAACTCTTCCTAGGCGTATTGACAAGGGGCTGGCAACGGACTTCTTGAGTAGACATTGAACGGATAGGAGGGTGATATTGTAGAGACCTCAGAAACAGTTTGATGGGAAGACTGGATTTTGCAGCCGCTACTGGTTCAGGGACTGGCATTGACTTAGTTATGTTCGAATGCTTGAGACCTGGAGATTGTCGAGCAGGACTCAAAGGCAAGGATCAAGTACGTCCCTGAGGTTTGAAGAGTAGATAGTACTAGGAGCTGAGGTTCTTGGAAAGCTGATCAGGGAGGGTGCTTTATCGCAACCTGGAGAAGGCCTTGAAACAGGGGGCCAAGGCGTGCCTAGCTGTTCAGATGGTCAGAGCCCCCTCTTGTACTATTAGCCATTCGACCCGGTCAGATACAAGTACAAGATAAATTTGGTACCCCCCCCCCTTTGACGGCCTAGATACAGCACGCATCAAATTGGGCGACCTTCAAGAAGCCCTCCAAATGTCAGATGGATCACTCTAACCTCCGTTCATCACTCGGGGTTTATTGAAGGCCAGGCTAGATTGCTCAGTCTCGAGGATCAACCCATTGCTAACCTGTTTGCTTAACCTGCAGTCACCCCCGCCGCGGATGGGTTCCAGGCGTTGAAGCTGCTCTCTGACAAGATGAAGCAGTTCGACCTTGTGCTGACTGAGGTTGTCATGCCTGGCCTTAGCGGCATTCAGCTGCTGTCAAGGATCCAGCAACGTGATCAACACAAGCGGATGCCAGTCATTAGTGAGAAACCTACTCGTGTACATTCCAAAGGCCTTTCCCCTCCTCTTTGTGGCTTCTCTTGAGATTGCCGCTTTTCAATCAGCAAGTTTGTCCGAGTTGATCAAGCAATTTGAAGACGAGCTGAGTGTGCTGCTCTCTATTTGTCGTATGTATTTTTTCATAACGCAGTTTTGATGCACGAGGTTGATCGTGTGCTTTAAGATGTGGGTGCTTGGTTTGTGATCCGGGTTTATTGGCCAACTCTACTCCAGAGGTTGGCCAACAAGTGAACATCCCTGGTTAATCATGATGATTGTCACTCCTCACTGCTTGTAATTATAAACCCTCTTACAGAAGCAAGTTTGTATGTGTTCTGTTGAGAAAGGGGTAACCTTCAGAGGAAAAGTCAAGATACCCCCTCATGAGACAGTTGTTCTGATCATTTGCTTTCTCCTCCTCTGCAGTGATGTCCTCCAAAGACGCCACCGATGTGGTCTTCAAGTGCTTCCAGCGGGGGGCCGCTGACTTCCTGGTCAAGCCTGTCAGGAAGAATGAGCTCAAGAACCTCTGGCAGCACGTTTGGCGGCGGTGCAAAAGCGTGAGTGGTCTACCCTCACTTGGTCCTGGTCGTGCTTATCTAACAATGTAGACTTTTGGGAGTATCTGCTTTCTGACTTATTCTTGCTGATGGTAAGACAGGGCCTTCCACACTGATGCTGGGAACTTGCGTGGGTTTGAGGGTCTGTTCAAAGATTCTGTAAATGAAGAAAAGTGGCTACTGTTCACATCAGCAAAGCCTAGACTGGTCCGACAGCGGCATTGGAAAAATTGCTGTTTTTGATAAGTCGACGTCTCTCAACTTTTGACTTGTACCGTAGCACTGGACATCTCAACTTTTGAGTCTGATTTGCACAGACGGTTAGAGCTGAGTTGCAAACGCTTTCCGTGCAGTCAAGCGGCAGCGGCAGTGGCGGCTCTGGAACGAATGCTGCAACAAAAGTGCCAAGGAAGGAGCGCGGCCGTGTGCGCGACGGTTCAGGGGATCGCTCGGGGAGCGGGTCAGACAGCGCGGGCGGGCAGGTCAATGTCGGGGGAAACGGTTCAGACAATGGAAGCGGGACTCGTAATGAGAGCAGCCCGGTTCCTGATGAGAAGGTCTTTGCTAACGGGGATGGGGGGGAGACGTCTCCGCCTCTGGAAGAGAAAGCTCTTGAGGTGCAGAGGGAAGAGACGCCAGAGCGGCGGGTAGAGAATCTGCTGCAGACGGTGGGGGGGAAGGACGGGTCCAGGAGGGAGGAGGTTTCCAGGGGCCAGCCGATGCGGGAGAGGGGGGGTGACGCGGGGGTTGGTAGCACGAGGCGGCCTGAGGAGGAAGAAGGCAGTCCCTCCAGAAGTTCAGAGAAGGCTGCCGATTTGATTGGTAATTTTGTAGAAGAGAAGGCGGTTGAGATTACATCTCCCAGGGGGGGCGAAGGGTGTCAGCCGGCAGGGGCAGAGAGAGGGGGGGTTTTCAGCGAGGACGGGGAAGGAAGGGGTCCGATGCCGGGTTTGGAGCTTTCTCTCAAGAGGGGGCGGCCGGCAGGGGACAGCTCAGAGGAGGCACAGCCCCCCTCAAAGCAGCAGATGCGTACGCTTCGCCAATCTGGGGGGTCTGCATTTTCCCGGTACTCAATGGGGGGGGCAATGACCAATTCTTCACGGCAGAGCCAGAACCAGCCGCCGCAGTCGCAGCACGTTGGGGGTTACTCCTCAGGGCCGATTGGACCCCCCCACAATGGAGGCTCGGCGATGGGTTCCTTCATGCCCCCGGAGTTCCAAATGCCGTCCGCTTTTCAAATGCCGACGCACCTTCTCCCCCCTGATTTCAGCAACCCCCGCACTGTCGAAGCCGGCCCCGAGATGCAAGGTCCTTCGAGACTGGGAAGCGGCGAAGTATCAAGCGCTGCAAAGCGTCAGACCGGCGGTTGGGGGGCAGAGCCAGCTGGGCCAGCACCCCCCCAGATGAAAGAAGAGTACTCGGCAGGCCCGCTTGGGCCGTCGTCAATGACGATTCCGCCGCAGGGGTTCATGCCGCCAGGCTTCCCGGAACCTGGATTTGGGCCGTTCCCGCCCCACTTCGGCTACTACTTCCAGCCCCAGAACACAGGTGATTGACGATGTCGAGTTAATATGAGGTTCTTGGTTTGCTCGTGTTAGCTTGAACAAATACGAGACGGTTTCTCTTTCAGACCAGCTATTGAAAGCACGGTTTTCATTGATGTTTCTGCTTTAGTCTCCTCCTTCGTCCTTCTTCCTTTTCGATTCAATTCGTGGTACTGCAAACTCCCGCTTTCCTCTTCTTCTCATCCGGGGCCGGATTGCCTTTTTGCATGGAGTATTGTTCCGCTTCACTATTGCTGATTCTTTCTTCTTTACTCCCTTCGTCAGGCACCGCCCCGACCTGGAACTCGGCTCCCCCCCGAAAGGACCCCCCCAACCCTCCCCTCCCCCCTGCCAAGCCCCAAAACCCCAAAGACGTCAGCATCCATCATCACCATCATCATCACCACCACACCCACCACCATGACGCCAACCAACGTCATCATGACGCCTCGCCACGTCATCACGACGGCCCGCCGGAGCGCCACCCCAAGCACAACCACCACAAGGTGTCCCACCCGCAGGCGACGCGGGCTGCGGACGCGCCAGGTGGCGAATCGGGGTTGGCCGGGAGCAGCCGGCAGGAGATTGCGCAGAGCAGGGCCGAGCAGGCGGGGAAAGTGGCGGCGCATTTGGACCGGGCAGAGCACATGGAGAAGCGCGAGTCCCATAGGTGAGGATCTGGAGGACACCTTTGAGAACGCTGTTCTTGCTGTTGTCTATGAGACCTTTTTGCGACTTGTGCTTGTGGTTTGCACCTGAGTTGAGTTGCTTTTGGTGATAGCTTGAGCAGATTTGGCTCGTTTTCAGGACGAGTCCGCTGGCTGCAATTCATCTCGTTTTCTGGCATCCAATCATGACTGCAGATCGACGCCTTGTATTGGAGGCGAGCGTGTGCTCCAAAGTTCTTTCAGTTTTGCCTCTTCCCGCCACTCTTGGACTGGCCTCTGAAAGTACGCATCTGGCTTTTTTTGCAGGATGGACGGTCTTGACACCAGTGGGGGCAGCGACAACCCCAACAGCAGCGGCGGCCAGAGCAACGCCAACAACACCAGCGGTGGCGGGTCCAACTTCGGCTCCAACGGCCGGAGTTCCGCCACTCCGGGGAGCGGAGCTACTACTGAGACCGGAACCGGAACCGGCGCTAGCGGAACGGGGGCTGAGGCAAATCAGCAGACTCCCGCGCACGCCCCCCAGGCTGGCGCGAGTGATATGGCGCTCGACGGGATGGAGGAAGTGGACCGGTCAGCAAGAAGGGAGGCGGCGCTGAACAAGTTCCGCCAGAAGAGAAAGGAACGGAACTTTGAGAAGAAGGTGCGGTACCAGAGCCGGAAGCGTCTGGCCGAGCAGCGGCCGCGGATACGCGGGCAGTTCGTGCGGCAGGCGACGTTCCCCAACGCTGTACAGCAGTTTGTGCGCCCCGGGTCGCAGGGAGAGTCGTTATAGCGGCGGCTTCGAATACCACTGTAGGGTCGGGCTTTTGGTGCAGGTTTTTGGTGCTCGTCAAAAGTCGGATGTAGAAAGAGACGAGCCGGTGTGACGGTTGGCTACCGTAGCTTATTGTTTAGTGTTTGCTTATTACAGCTTTCACTGCGTTGTTTTGTTGTAGAGGATGTACCGAACACGTACTGTCGTCGCAGATGTCTGTCGTGACACGGATTAGCCTATTGTCTTGAAAGGAAGGCGTCTCTGGCACAATTCGTCGAGCGTCCCGTTTTATCAAGCTCTTGAGAGGGCCTTCTTTAGCCACTGTTTTCGAATCTTGCTGAGTCAACTCGAGCTCCAACTTCATGTCGTTTGACCGTCCAGTCGGTTCCACAGCAACACTCTCGGTTGGCTTAGTAAAAGCCAATCGCATGCGCGTGATTGGTTGCAATGGTACATGCATATGGTCAGCTGTTCCTGGACAAGGACGGGACCTGGTATGACATGTGCAACGCAGCCAAAGTTACTGGCCGGTTCATGAATTGGCAAATAAGTGAAGCTGGACGAGTAAACAACAGTTATTCAACATGTGGGAAACGAAGTCAATCTAACTTGGCAATGGACTCAAGATAGAGAACCGACTGTGAGTTTCAAGTTTCAATACAAAATCGCACACGCTGACACTGACAGTCCGCCGATCATGCATCGGAATCACTATGTGGGCCCTCTCAGTTTTTTACATTTGTTAGTACGTCACGTGGGATCGGACGATTAAGCACTCAGAAACATCATGTGCTAGGCTTGCATTGATATATGTTAGACCTGGCAAGTATTAAGTCATGCCGACTGTGGCTAGTATATAGGAGACCTAGCAACTGCAGTCTTAGCAACGACACGCCTTGATTCAATTTGTTGTACACCGCCTGCATTTGTAATTGAATGATTCGACATGGTATGCATGGGCTTCGGAACTACTGCCAGTTTCCAGGCACGTATGAACGAGCCTACGCCTGGTAGAATAGACCCCTATGAACGTCTCGATCTGAAATTGTGCGTCTCCCAGGACGAGTGCAACATACCGTTGAAAACGAACCAGATGATGCTGGCCCGACTCCAGAAAGTGAGAACGTGAACTTTGCTTCCATGCCCATGCGCTTAGTTCTGCTAGTGCATCGCGTGCCGAGCCTGCATGGAAGTTGTCCAAAGCGACGTCGAAATTCGGTTGCGCGAAGGGATCTGTAAACATTTGATGTTATCTGCAACGACAGGCTCGTACTGGTCGGGATTATTGTTAGCAACTATAGAATATGGAAGGCCGCTTCTCACCAGCTCAAGGTCCAATGTGGCTACCATTGCCTTCACGAGCGAGCCCCCAGATGCGAAGCTGTCCCCTTACGTTTGGACCTTACCAGCACGAAAGAAAGATGTGGTCTGCCAGGCTCGAATCTCACACAATGTCAGCTGTACTCATCTTCGGGCGCAAGCGGACTCGGAGTCTAAGATCGACTGAGTTCTCCGTGTTGCATTGGCCAGATGATCGGCATCTTCTTGCTGCCGGGACGCCTGGCGGGAAATTTCGAGTCTCAAATAAGTTGAAACTGGAGCCAAGAGCCGCATGGGTTGACTGCGAATTGATGTAACAGAGCTCACGTTGCAGGCAGATACTTTCAGCTCCGGGATATAAACGGTGCACTGAGCGGCCCCTTTTCTGATCGTCTGAACGACTCGAGGAGACTGTTGTTAAAACGACACTGCGTGGAACGGTTCATCAGTCAGAGCAGCCGGTCCACTTTGCATAGGGATTGTCTAGATTACACGGCTGCTCATCAATGGTTTTGATCATCTTAGACTATGACAAGCCGGAGCTCTCGACCTCAATAACGACTCTTAGCACAGTAGCTTGCAGCCTCCCGCGTGGAAGCAAAAGTCCGTGAGACGTCGCCAGTGCTTTCCAATTTAGAACGTGCCTGCCTCCTCATTCATACCCTTCAGAGACCGAGGCCCCTGTGTAGGCACGAGTACCTACAGAAAGCGATTTGGCTCGGCCAGCTGATCGATGTATTCGCTAATTGAGCGCGCTTGCGCTACGGGGCCTGCCGCGCCGCCGCGCACCGTCATGAAGCCCTGAGAGGTTTGGGTTGTCGAGCCGGCCGCGGACACGCGGCCGCGGGATGCAGACCGCGCCGGAACGCCACTGCGAGTACTGCGGTGCTGATCAGAAATCAATGGGCACCAGTGCCTGACAAAGCTTCTAAAACAGAGTAGTGTTGGGGGGCGGTCAGTATGGAGCACCTTCCCAGCGGAGTCCTGGTCCTGATCCTCGACAAGCTTGCGTCGCAGGACATTCCTTCCTCGCTGCGCGCCACGTGGGTCTGCAATGCTCTCTACAGCGCGGGGAAAGAAGCGCCATACGTCTGGAAGAGGGCGTTTCTCACTCCTCTGAGAACAGTGTTTGAGAGCGTACCAAAGCTCCCTTTTGAAGAGCTCAAGCACTCTGAGAAGAGGCTAGACGCGGAGGTAGAGGCTTTGGGAGGCTACAAGCTTCTTTTGGCAGCGAAATTGAGCCATGAGGTCAGAGTTAAGAAGGCCCTATCTGCTTGGCAATTAGCTCCTGAGCGAAAACTTTTTGAGCAGGAGACAGACGTCAAGTCTGGGAGTGCTACTTGCATCTCTGCTCAAATTTCTCGCCCAGCACGTAGTTATAGCCACCGTCCACGGTTTGAGCTTGCAGGAAATGTTCTGATTCTGATGAGGATATACGGTCTTCCAGTCGCGTATGGTGTCTACGATGCCCAAGAGAAGGCCAGTTTGAAACGTGCAGGCAGATTTGCAGATCTTCAGCTCCAGACAGTTACAGCGATCCCGCCTCAAGACATCTATGCCAAGGTGCTGTTAGCAGACGGCCGAGTTGATAAGGAAAGCTTCTGCGTAGAGTTCTACGGGTGTAAGAAGCTGCCACGTGGCGATGACAGTACCTATCAGCAGCTTTGGTGCGGCACTTGTGCTGTGCAGAGTGCCGGCGGGTATACGTACCGTGAGAGTACACCTCATGAACAGGGTGCACCGCTGCTTTTTTTGTACGGGACTCTGCAGCGTGCGGAACCCGAAGAGTATCGCAGTAGCTCGTCATATCTGGGATTCTTTTCTTTTGAAGGCGCGAAACATCCCGGGTGGAATTTTAGTTGGCCCGCACCAACAGGCGACACTGATGCGTTCTGGACGCAGTACGAGTGGGAGGAAGGGCCCTTAGGTGCAGCTTAACCCCATATGCAGGATCGATCATTGGAAACACTCGAACAACCAGGCCTGCGGCATCGGGCTGTGGTCTAAGCAAGACAACGTGCGTGGCGTTTTGAAGATTGTACAGTCGTCTTATTTTCAAATAGATGCATCGAGGCGTGCCCGTACCGGCTGGTTCAACTGATTTGAAGGCTGAGGGATTACTAGCATCTTGGCTTTCTCCAGATACAAGTCAATCGTGAAAGTGGAGGTTGTCAATCGGAGACTGAAGAGCATGGCCGCTTCCGGCATGATTATCAGTCTTATCTGATGATTGGAACCGGAAGATGGATTGTTCAAGGAATGTTGCTTGCAGTACTTGTGCACGATACTTGTCACGGCTGGTTGAGGGTTGTTCAGTATTGCTACTTACATCCCTTTTCGAATACATAAACCGGGCTTGTGCCTTTAGATGTGCGCTTATGGCCATACGTGCTTGTTTTTTAGTTGCTAATATTGACACGGATTCGTGCAGCATATATTTTCCAGCAGCATATGTATGGATATATGGCCGCTATGCTATTTGATGTTCAACTGCGCGACAAGGATCAGCCTCAATGGCGCAAGATAGTCAAAGGACCAGTGGTGCCCAGCCTAGAGAGGAAGACTGTGAGCATCTTATTTTAGAAATGTTCATCCTTGTCTTGTCACAAGCTGCAGCCCATATGCATGGTAAGACGGCTGTCGTACAGCTAAGTCGTACGTCCAGCATTGAGGGACAGGATCTGAGCGACCGTCAAAATTCTTTTGCTCATCGCATCGACCAAAAGCGGCGCTGCCCTGACGAGGAGTTGAACAAAGCATCTAAAACCAATTAAGGGAACCAGTTCCAGGCTTCCGCGCTTCTAGGGATTGGAATCCCAGAATTGCACCATTCTGAGGCTCGTTGTCACGTGGGCCTTTCTCAATCAAGGTCCGAATCTGCTGTGCTATCCAAAATAGACTTTGATTACGACAGTATTCAATTTATTGGGTTTCTCTGAAAAGGTTCCGTTTTGCCTCGGGACAAAGGAGCTTCGCCCAGGCTTCTTGCTTGCAATTGTGTTGGTCAACAGTGAAGACCGACAAAATTTACTGATCAATCGAACGGTAATCTCAGTACTTCAAACCCCGGCGAAACCCTGGCGGCAGCTACGCGACCGCGCCCGGCCGCGGGGGATCGCTCCGTGACCTGTGACGCCCCAGTGACGTGCCGAGCAGAGCAACCTTGAAGTGAGGAAGCTCATCAAACAACATCAAACAATTAGAGAGTAGCTAGACTGTTGCGTACTTGGAGCAACCTTCTGCTCCCTGATGATGCTTGCAACTTCAGCCGTCGCCCAGGTAAGGGGCTGCGCCGTCCTCAAAATGGCATCCGTGCTTTTGCAAGCATCTTCATTCTCCAGCTTCCTTTCCCCGCCGCAAAGCTCAACCCATTCGCAGCCATCTTTGCTGGCTTCCTCCAGCTTTCTTCCGCCGCTTACCAAGCGCTTCACTTTTCGTCAATCGCTAGCGTTTCTCAAGCAGGTTCCGCTCAGGTTCCGCTCAAGCTCCGCTCAGGTTCCGGCCATGGCGATCAAGAGCAGCCTCCCCGTCGTCGCCCCTTCCGCCACCCCCTCCCTCTGCGGCCCCAAGGGCCTGGCGGAATGGCGGAAACGCAAGGAGGAAGAAGCTGCTGCCACGTCAGCAGATCCGTCCCAGGGGGGTGGCGATATTGCTGCCGGCAACCCTTTCCTGGGGATGCTTTCCGGGGGTGCGCTCAAGGCGGGCGTCCAGGCCCCCCCCATGGGCCACACTCAGAACCGCTCCTGGACCTACACGAGCTCCGGCAATCTTTGCCTGGACTTCTTCTTCCAGATTCTCCCCGACACCCCCCCGGAAAGATTGCGCCAGCTGCTGGAAGCAGCGTGGAAAGAGGACTCCCTGCTGGCGCTGAAGCTCCTTTTCCAGCTCAGGGGGGTAAGAGGAACCGGGAAGTGTGAGCGGGAGGGGTTTTACACCGGGGCGCTGTGGCTGGCGGAGAAGCACCCGGGGACGCTGCTGACGAACCTGGGCCATGTTGCGCGCTTTGGGTACTACAAGGACCTGCTAGAAATCGTGCTCAGGTAACGGTCTGACGCCTTTGCAGCTTCAAAGTTTGAGTTTCGAGGTGATCAACGGATTGCATTCAATGGTTAGCTTTTCAAAAGGTTTTTCGGCAGAAAGAGCATAATGGCAGCGCCCGGTCTTTTCCATATTTTCTCTTCCGCTGTTGGTGCGAAATTGAAGGTAAGTTGTCCTGAGTTGAATCCGAGAACCGTTGCAAAGGTGAGAGCGAAAACGTCTGAACCATCTGCGGAGGCCTTTGACGAAGCGAAGGTACTTTTAGCGCATTACCAAAAGCAGCGATCTGGTATCTTGAATGAAAAGCTGATCTTCCAGACGGAAAGCGTTTCCGTATATTTGTCTAATTCACACGAGAATTCGGGCCCTTGTAAACCCGATGGGGGTCTACCCGGAAACCATGTTTTGTTTTGGACCGTCTACAGGGTTGACGATCGCCTGCAAGATTGATGCTCAAGGCATTATATTATTTCCTTTCCCAAAAAAGCAAGCCCCTCCATCCGTTCTTGTCCAGGCCCTTCTGACTCGAAATTGCGATAAGTCAAGTTGGTTCTGCTTTTAATTTCACGAGAACAATATAAACAGCCCATGAAAAGTTCGTACAGCAGACAGCAGACCAAAGTTTCAAAATAAGTAAACACAGAGCAGCACGTGGATAATTACCCGGCAGCTTCTCACCATTTCGCATCCTTTCTTTCTGCAGAGTCCTGGAGGGACCCGAGGGGACGGCCTTGCGCGCGCGGCGGAAGGCGACCCACGACGCGGCGCGCGCAGCCGCCAAGGCGCGCGCGGATGCCAAGCTCAGCTCGCAGGAGCTCAAAGACGCGGGAGTCTTCTCTCCCCGGTGGGGGGAAGGCTATCCGGTTGACTATGATGAAGACGTTTTTGGATACGGCCCCCAAAGCCGTTCCTATCGTCAGCGAAACTCGAGGGGGAGCCGGTGGAACCCCCGGAAGGGCGAAGCCGCGCGGCGCGCGAAGCGCGAGGGCACGCTCCGACCGCGCGAGGAGCGCGTCGCCGCGCAGCTGAAAAAGGACAAGGCCGCGAGCGCGCAGGCGCGCGCGGCGCGCAGGCGCGCACGGCGCGCAAGGAGCGCGAGTTCGCGGCCGCGGAGCGCGCGGTGCGCGCGTACGCGTACAACGGGAGCTACCGCGCGCTGCACGACGCGGTGGCGGACGTCTTCGCGCGGCAGCTCGCGCGGGACCTCGAGAGCCTCGCGGCCGGCCGCGCGCGTGACGTCAGCCTCGCGGCGAAGTGGGCGCCCAGTCTGGACGGCAGCTACGACCGGCAGACGCTGCTGTGCGAGACCATCGCAAGGCGGATGTTCCCCCGGGCAGATCAGGAAGACGGGGAACTCCCGGATGCGCTTTACGTCAGCAGGTAAGACTTCTCAGAGTCAGCACAAACGCCAATCTCCCGCCGATGTGGAATACGAAACAATGAAGCAACGGCTTTGCACATCAGGCTGACGACCCCGTGCCGGTTTCGGATCTCTCGTCGGGTCTTGCAAGTTCTGTTATCTTTAAGTGGCCTCAGTTCGCTCCTCGCTTTCGAATCCGCGTACTTCCTTACATTTTTGTTTCTTTCTAGGATCGTATCTCTTTTCGTCTCAGCAGTTGTTCTAGAGGTTCTATCTTACTGATCGTGTCTCTTCTCGTCCTAGCTGTTGCTTCATCGAATTCTTTGAAATAGGCGAAGCGAAGTGCACATCTTCTCTCCTATTTCGATTGCAGGGCCCGGGACCGGTTGCGGAAAGAGGTGCTGACGCCCCTCCGCGCCGCGCTCGGGGTTCCGGAGGTTTACGTGGCGGCGGGGCGGTGGGCCGAGCTCGACTACAAGCGCGTGCCGGCCGCGTGCATGCGTGCCAACGCGCGCTTCTTCCTCAAACGCGACAAGGCGCGCTTCAAGAAGTTCCTCGCCGACGTCAGCGCGGGCAAGGCGGGTGTCGCGCGCGCGGCGCTGCCGCCGCACGAGGTGCTGCGGGCCGCCGTCACGGGGTTCGGGTGGGGGGCGCGCCACGTGGCGGAGCTTCAGTGGCGGGGCAGCGGCGCGCGCGCGGGCTCGGCCAAGCCGCTCACCAGCTGCCTGGCGGTGTGCGACATCAGCGGGTCGGTGCGCGGCGCGGCCGCGCAGGCGGCTGTCGCGCTCGCGCAGTTTGTGTCGGAGCTGGCGGAGGGGCCGTGGAAGGGACAGGTCATCACGTTTGGTGCGCTTCCCCAGATGCACGCGCTGAAGGGGAAGACGGTCAAGGAGCGGCACGCGTTCGTGGGGGACGCGGCCGCGGGCGGGGGTGCCGGCTTCCAGAAGGTAACGTTTCTACGACAAATGCCTCCGAAAACTTGCTTCTGAAACCACCAGAATAACAATTTCGCCCGACGAGAACTGTCATCGGCACGAGGTTTGATGTGGAGTTGTCGAGGAGCGGTCCTCAGGCTAACAAGCTTTCCTTTCGTCACAGAATTGGGACAAAAGAATCACGTAGACAAAAGGTCTCCTTGTCGTCAGTCCGTGTCGCTTGAATTGCATTGTAGCTCACTCGTTCTGCACATCTCAGCAACAATTCTAAACGGCGAAGTTGAAGCTTTGGGAAGTTATGCTAAGACAAATCGGCGTTGTATTTGAGAGGTTTAGAGCACTCTCTGGAAGTCGTCAATCTACTACGTCGAAACCTACTCACCCATCATGGCAGCACAGCCTTCTTCTCGTTGATGGTCTTGTTACGACCATCGACTGGCACGGAGAGACTCTGTATTGGGATTTTGAGTTCTTTGGTCGTACAAACTCCGACTCAAGCGTAGGACCATCACAAGTGACGTCTCACCAAGCTCTTTGGATGCAATCATGCTGGAGTCTTGTAAATTCCGGCTCTGACGTCCTCCGTATTTGCAGGTGTTCGACAACATCCTGGCGCTCGCGCGCGCGGCCAAGCTCCCCCCCGAGGCGATGGTGCGCCGCCTTTACGTCTTCTCCGCCATGGAATTCGACGCGGCATCGGCCCAGTCCTACCAGACGGACTACATGGAAATCGAGCGCAAGTTCGCGGCGGGGGGGTACGGCGCCCCCCCCGAAATCGTGGTCTGGAAACTGTGCAACGGCGCGAGCACCCCCGTGACCGCGGGCCAGAAGGGGGTGGCTCTAGTCTCCGGGTTCTCGAAGAATCTGCTGAGATTGTTTGTGGGCGAGCCGGGGGGGGTGGATCCGGTGAGCGTTATGAACCGGGCGGTGGCGGGGCCCGAGTATGAGAAGCTCGCGGTCGTGGACTGAGGGGTTGGTCGGTAGAATGCGCCGGGCGCGCGAAAAGGGGTGTGCTGGATTCGTACGAAGCTGGATGGGCGAATTAAGCGTGGCTAGGGCTAGGCTAGCTGACTTGGACAGATCAGTACTTGTACTATGTGTATGATAAAGTGGGCCGGAACGTCGCCAGCGAGCTTGAAATACAGACGAGACGGAACTCCCTTGATGACTATTGTTTAGTATGCTGCTTCAACCAACGAAAAGCTGGACGTTTTGACGTTTTGACGTTTTTTTGAACTTGGACGTAACGCTTCGACCAGGTCGCCTTTCCGAAATCGGTGCATATGCATTGCTCATACACTCGACCAAACGCCAGATTGACGTGGTTATTGAGTGAAGCAAAGCTGCAGTCTCTCCTAGCTTATTTGCCAAACACGTCATTGCTATGCTTGCCTGTTAACGAATCTGATGCACGTTGAAGGACTCAAGGTGTACACATGATCATTATGCGCACAACGGTATAGTACCTTCATGTGGGGATTGAAGTTATATATATACTGGAGGCTGTCCCTAGGCCCGATCGGTTCATATTTGATCATTTCCCGCTAGGGCATCTCCGTTGATGGTTGATAGATAGATAGAAGTATCGTGTTTGTACTTACATGCTCGTGAGACGGTCACTTGCACGTTCGGGCCCCGTGCCTAAGCATGGGCCCAAGGGCTCATTGCATGTCGCATGGTGAACTTGGCAGTTGGTGAGTGTTGGATTGCTTTGATTTTGGCTGGCAACGACTGTGATTCCGCTTAGTCACTGCACAGATGATTTTAGTGACGATGTGCTTCCAAATGAAGATAGTATGTCCAGTCGATCTAGGGTACTGTATGTCCTGTTTACTGTGACATTGCAGGTAAGATCGTCATTCTGTACTCTACTTTCTAACAAGATCAAGTTGGGTGCGAAGACTGTAATTCTGCTTATAATCCATTACACAATTAATTCTAGTGACAATTGTGTGTGCTGTCAAATGAAGATAGTATGTCCAGTCGATCTAGGGTACTGTATTATATAGGTATATTGTGACATTGCAGGTACGATCATTATCTATACTCTACTTGCTATCCAGATCAAGCTGGGTGCGAGAGCACTTCTTATAAGCCTAGAAGCGATCCTAATGATTGTGGCTACCTTCACCGATCAGTCTCCCACACTGTTCTTATTCTGGGCGCTGAGGAGCCATGCACGCAACCTCGAAGGGTCTGCCAGCGCACTGCAGACTCCGGGTGAGAATGATTAAGAAAGTGGGGTATCTGGGGTATCTATTGGGGGACGTGGGGGGGGCGGGGGCGGGGCCACGGTACGGGGTGGTGAATGTCAACTCGGCCGCCTACAACGACGGGGGGTACAACGGGGCGTGCAGACATGGGCCGCATTCCACCTCCGGCGTGAGGCTCAGGAGAACCGGCAGTACCCTCGGGGGCCGGCGGCAGCTGAACGCGGTACTCAATGGCCGGTTTCTCATCCACGGCTGTCTCTGCCGGTGCGTTGTCGCCAGATGGTGGGCTCTCAACGGGGGTCGCTTGAAGGCTAATGGTCAGAGGCTCTGGTTTGGCGAGCTTGATCACCAAAGACCCGATGCAGATGACGCTGACCGGGTCGCTGATCTTGACCGGGACAGTGGACGTTTGCCACGTGGGATCGTCGGACGCGGCGCCAACGAGGAGCGCAACGGCAGCGCCTCTGCCGTAGGATGGGCTGTGGAAGGGCAGACACCGGTTAGCCGTAACCAAGATTGAGATAAGTCTTTAGAAAGATGCAGGGAACAGACTTTGGGTTCATCCCAGTTCCCTTGTGGTGTTCTGGATTGGAACCGGAATCGATTGAAACTGCTCAGAAACGAATCCCAGTCTTCTGCTACCAGCCTAAGAATCGAAATTCGAGCTGAGGTTCAAGTTGACAAGTTTAGCTGCTCTTATGTGTCTCTTACTTCGATTCAGCCGGTCATGACTCAGTGTATTCCAATCGAGCTCCAGGTGAAGTTGATTAGTGAGCAGCAGCGACTCTGATTTATTGCTTCCAAGAGGAGTCATTGTCACTTGTATTCAAAGTTCGTTTGCTGGCCTGACCATCGAAGAGCTCTTACTCCCAGGACCGACTTCAGTTAAAATGCTCGTCCTCTCATTCTGGAGGATGTAGTAGTGCGAGACCATACCTCATGCCGCGGCTTTTCTTGACCTGGAAACCAAATCTTGAAGGACTCAGGGAATGCATGGCAGGTCCTGTGGCAAGGAAGCGAGATGCCGTTCCATCTAGCTTCACCTGGAGGGGAATTTGAGTGCACAAATCATTTAGATAAAGGAAGTTAATTGTAGATTGGTCTTCAGATCTCCCTGGTGGGCAAGAGAACGAAGTCCTTGACTGGTAGAACTGATAGATGCATCATCAGATGATTTGGTATGTCAAAGTTGTCCTATGTATCGTCAGAGAGGCCGTTCCTGGATCAAGTCAACATGACTCTTGTCTCTGAGAGCAAACATCATGCATTATTGATCGATCCTCGGTCTTGTAAAGCTAGCCTTTTGTGAGCAGATTTGCGCCAGAAATAATGGAGTAGCAAGTAAAGAAGTCATGCACTGTTGAAGTGAGGATCAGCAAGAAGCTGATACAAGCCCGGCCCCGCTGATCCTTTTGGAGGTCGCTAGGTCCTCACATAAATGATGCAGATCTTACTTCTGCACGTTTGTTGTTATTTTTTTCCGCTTTTGTACGGCCTCCTTTTCAATGAGAACTATATTATCAATGTCCACGTACCATGCGATTGAGGGATGGCAGAGAGCGGTCTCTTACACTAGCAGCAAGGCTGGTCTGCCTCAGCTGGATGGCAGCGTTGCTTTGAAATCCGGAGTGCAAGGCTGACGCCATTGCTGCAGCCGGTGCAGCCACGCAAATCTTGGTAGCAATTGCCGCACCAGCACTGGTACTCAATCCAATAACTGCAAAAGAATTTAGCAAGGCTGTCAGACACGTCTGCCTAACTCAATGAACAGAGACTAATGCAAGCAGCACCCATTAGCTCCGGGGTTGTTGGATCCAATCAGTCTCTCCTGTTGTCAGGAGAATCACAACCCCCTTGAACCATGGAAAAAGCACAGAAGCGGCTCCTTGGACAAGTAAAAAAAGAAACAAAGTACGTTAATTGCCAAGAGCAAAGCGTTAGAAGCATAAGACCATTCTCACCACGCTAGTATGCAGAAGTGGAGGTTGCTTGAAGACTCCTAAAACATTTGACCAGGCGCAGCTAGAGCACGATCTGCTAAGCCTAGATCTAAGCCCGTGGTGTTTGAATGAGCATGTCATCTCTTAACGGAGCCCACTCACCAAAAAGCAGCTGGACTCACCTTCGACACAGCTTCTCTCAGATGCAGAGCCGGAAATTGCAGACTGATTTGCAGAGCTTGGCGGATAGCTCAATGCTGCCAAAGAGACAATCTTGAACTGAGCTGGTTTTCAAATGCAGAATTTGCCTCTTTGGGGTTATGAGAACAGAGGCATTTCGCAACGAGTTTTATAGGTATGCTGCACCAGATCGATCACCGATGTTCGTCCCCCAGATTATCAGTCAGCTGCGGGGATTACTCGGTCTTTCCGGCATGCCTCAGTAAGCTACGTTAGCTCATGGACTGTGGCGCTCCCATTGAGGGCGGGTGTGTTAATCTGCAGAACCCAGCATACCATATGCATCGACAGTCGTGGGAAAAGCAAGTCTCAAAGACTCCTAATTGAGGATCGGACATCGCGACGAGGCTGCGCCAGTGGCGAGGGATGATCCGAATGAATGCCACTGACAGCTTCCACATAGCGGTAGATTCCGCAGCAGGGATTGCTTTGTTCTTTTGGTACGTACCCGGGCACAGCTACCTGCAGAGCCCAGCGTCAACAGGAGCAGAGACCTGAGAGAGACCACGACTTAGACCAAGGTATTAGGCACGAGGACAAATACGAGGCTGCCTGGCAAGGGATCGTCGATGGTCCGATCGCTACTTTGCACATACCGTGCCGGTACACGCATTCCGCAGCAGGGTGTGCTCTGACTTTTTGCTCTAACGTACGGTACAACTACTGTACTTTTTTTATACTGCCGACGTAAGGCTGTGGTACATGTCAGTAGAGAATCTTATAATGTATCAGGCTCGTCGCGACCCTAGTCCACTGATCCGAATAAAATCTAAAGTAGGTACAAGATCTCGCTGCTACTAGGTACCTCCTACTGGTACGCTCAGGGCACAATGCTAGTAGGTGTTGTCACAAGTACGGTACTCTCGTCTCCATCTAATGAGAGGGGTCGTCCTCTTGTGATGAAACACCCGGTGCACACCTACTGCAGTGACCCTGCTCTAAGAAAATCTTGTAGACCCACCTGCGTTTTATGTCAACACACCGTTATAGGTAACTAGTAGCCCCAGGCTTGGTATGATGTTAACCACCGGAGTCCTAACGAATCACGAATAGGTAGGATTCTTCTGGCACCCATGGAAGCCTATAAACCAAACGCTGACCGGCCACTAGTAGGGTGCTACGAATCAAAGAATGAAAGAATGGTACGTGAAGCAAATAATAGGGGAAGCGTCGATTACCCCACCCCAAAACCCAAAAACATTTTCCAAATCGATATTATACATCTTTTCAACGTCGCTTAAGGGCGTCGAGTCTCGACGTGCCTAACCCGAATTAGCTTGCGCCTAGGAGAAATCGTTTTGCCGGGCCGGCCGTCTATATATATACCGTATTTGCGCGGCAGTGTTTGTCCCTAGCTAGGAAACTCGGACACCCCTCTTGCAACAGGAGACGACAGGAGACGAGAGTAGCTGGTACGACGTTGCTGATCGCGTATCACGGTACCCGGCGGTACACAACTACACAACAACAGTAATATCCTGATTCCTGACTTACGTAAACCCAGGGTTACCGCAGAATTGCTACATACGCATTAGAGGCGAATTCAAGGCTTCAAGGTAACTTGACCTATGGAACTAACCGCATGTAGCTGGCATATTGTGCGCCCTCGCGAGATCATTCACAAGATCAAATCACAGGATACCGGTATCAATATGAGCGCGCCGCCACATCGCATGCGGATAGCAAGTACCATCACTGTCCAGCCTGCTGGCTGCGGAGTGCGCACTGCGCAGTTCCAGTCTAGGCCCAGGACCCAGGGCCCAGGCGGTGCCAGTTCGACACAAGCCGGCACACCAGTCAAAATGAT